AGATAATTTTGCGGCCATGTGTGAGCATATTAAGCGTATTCTTTGCACAAGAGCAAGACTTTTTATCGCGCGTCAATGAAGTTTTAGCTACTGAGGATAATGAAGACTCTTGTGTCAGATGATTTATTTAGGCTCTCACGAACAAATAGTCAATCTGATGGTAACCTAACATGAAATAATTGTATTAAGAGTAAATCATTTGAAATCATTCATGGGCTGCCTTTTAGTCCGTATGTCATTGCAATAAAGACATTGGTGATGGCCTCATTAATTTCCATTCTTTCAAACGAATTTGTACTTTCCGAATTCATGCAATCTATCCTAAATGAGCAAAATTTATTGTGTCATAGTTGCATTCAAATCTTTTTTTTCTTTTTTTTTTGTTTCTTGTTTGTTTTTATTTTGTATATCGATGGGCTGAGGGACAATACCGCCTATCTGCAAACTGCCGATTTTTCAGGACGAAGAAAGTTCACAATTTTTGTAATATTTAGGTGAGCTATATACGCATTTTTTTATACATTAATGCATCATTACAATGCTCCCATGCAGCATTGGAAAAAAACAAAAATATCATCTTGCCTATTTTATATTGTAGAACCCGGCAAAGTAAGTAGCTAATTAACTCATTTTCGCCAAAATTGTCAGTTAGGCGGTTTTGTTCCTTAGCCCTTAAAATGTATTTATGAGTTTTGATGGTATTAAAATATTCAATTAAACACCAAACCAAGCAGATAAAATTTTTCTTTCCAATCAACAAAAATACACAAACACAAATTAAGAGATGATTCGTGAAACAGCGAAAGTTAGCGGTTGACACATTTCTGGAGCATTAATTGGATTGCATTTTGCAAAAAGGAACCACTAGCATTGCAATGTTGCTAAGATTGTGCAACTTCTTTTGTCTTGGAGGAAAAACTCGATTATCCCTTAATAATTTCTATTTTACTCGCTAAAAACAGTAAATTTAAGACAAAAATTACCATCTAAATTTCATAGTTTTTCACAAATTCCGCAATTTTATTGCAAAGGATGAAGTTGCACAATCTTAGCATCATTGCAATGCTAGCAGTTCCTTTTTGCAAAATGCAATCCAATTCTGGTCTAGGGGCATACCAGTGCCGGTTTGTCTCATGACGCGAGCTCTTGCCCGTGTGAATTTGAGTTTCCCGTCGCCAGAATCCTCGCCTCATCGTGAATCTTTAAGGAGATGAGAATTTCTCGAGCTTTCCTTGCTCTTAACGGACGAGGAAGCTGGAGTGTGAAGGGAAGCAATTAAAACAGTGGTAAAACGCTGGTGGATGTGTAATACGATGTACGGTACTAATTTGCTGGATGGCGAGCAGTTTGACTCTGTTAGGACATCTTAAGAGCGTCGCCCGGGTCCTCGAGGCCTCCTTCACCTTACGGCCCGGCCGGAGGGGAGGGGGGAGGGGGCGCCACGAAATGAGACGAGAGGGGGACCCAAGAGTCTCGATGGCGTCTACTTTGCAGCCCTCCCTTGCATTCGACTGCAAGTGCAGTGCGCTGCCGCCAAGTTTCCGCGCTTTCCGAAGTTTCGGGCCGGTATGATCTCGAAGAATGCCATTTACCAAATGACCTCTGGATCGATAGGCAAGGATGGCGATTAGGTGTCGCAGAGCGCCCGGGCGCACTGTAAAGCGACTCGAATGTATGTATGATCTCGAAGAAAAGTGATATTTAAATTGTTACGCACTTCTCTCAATAATTACGTCTTAAGAATGGCCCGCTGGCATTATAGGAATTTAAGCAATATTTTAAATATTTTCCCTCAAAAATGTTGCGTTCAAAGCAATTTGCACAATAGGGAGCTTGAGATTAGATTCTCATTTAGAGATTTTATATGCACACATGACATTCGACAAAAGATGTTTTTTTAGCAATTAACTAACGTTAATGGGCCTGTTGCATGCAAGAGATACAGCCGTGCGAATAGACTTTTTAGAGGTTAAATGACACGAAAATTACGATGGTCACATTAAAAAAGTCTGAAATACACTCCTTACTGCGCAATTTGTGTTGTTAGGAACGCGCTTTTTCAAATTTCCCGCGTCTGGGGGCAGTTTTCTAACGGAAACAATTAACTGCAACTCGCGGCTATTTCCGGTCAACTAAAACTGACAACATAACCTAAAAATCGGAGCTCGTAACATCGTGAAATGAAATGTAGAAGGATTGCGTTGGATATTTAAAAGTTGATCGATTTGGTTACCGCATAAAGCGTATATGGACCACTGTAGGAGATCACGTTGGGTTTGTAAACAAACTGAAGGAATAAATAACAACAACAACTACGACTCGGCATCTTCCGGAAATCACCGAGCCCGCCGTTTGCTCGTTTCCGGTGATTAGAAAACTGCCCCCAGGCGCGGGAAATTTGAAAAAGCGCGTTCCTAACAACACAAATTGCGCAGTAAGGAGTGTATCTCAGACTTTTTTAATGTGACCATCGTAATTTTCGTGTCATTTAACCTCTGAAAAGTCTAATCGCGCGGCTGTATCTCTTGCATGCAACAGGCCCATTGGAAATGTTCATTTATTTTTTAGGAGTCAAGCTATAAAATTCTCTCTCTATGAATCATTTTTCATGTAAAATTTCAAAGTGGAAACATGAGAGTAGATTCCTAATATTTTTACTTTGTCTAATGTCTCAGTCCACCTGTTTTCAAAAGAAAAAAAAGAAGGATTCAATTGATATAGAAGGAACTTCTTTTGACAGACATGCATTCTTTTTGTAACGAACACGGTTTTTTGCGGGAAATATTCATTAAGATGTATCTTTCAATTCCGTTACAAACTTTTCTCGGCGTATAGTCGCGTATAGTGGGCAAAAAGAAATTATTTTAGCAGCTTTACTGAAGTATACAAGAATATGATTCTATTCAATTCAATTCTCAAGGACCAAGCGGTTTAAACAATTTTTCTTAACTTAGAGGAACAATACAATATATGAGTCTGAAAAATCATTTGGAAGAAAAACGAAAGAAAAAAACAGGGAAAGATAAGAATCGCAGGAATCATTCAATCGGCTTGGATATATATCATAAAAAAATAAAGTAAACTAGTAGACTATAGTATTTTTTATCGATATCCACGCTCTTTCTTCATTGATTTACCATCATTAATGAGAATGCGACTATTTCAGCACGCGGGGTAGTTTTTGGCCTGCTCGGAGAAATGAAGGCGCATGTGCAACTACCAATTCGCCCATGAAAGCTGCGTTTCCTTTTTTTCAAAGCTAAATTTACAATATACACAGAGTTCATTAGGAATTTCGCTCAATTGTAATCGTTCGTCAACTTCAACACTTAAAAAATAATTACAACAAAATTCCTTTCCTTTCGGTCGGTATTTCTTTTCCTTTCTTTGCAAGTTAATATCTTATTAGAAGGTGAAAGAAACGACTGAGGCCGGCGAACTTGAGTAAAATTTAAGCCTCAAGATTACAGCCCACTCAGCGTTATTTCAGCAATTAAAAGTGAAAAATCCTGACCCCGAGCAAAGTCGAAGCGGGGGTAAATTAAGAGAGGCCGTCCTGGTCCCCACGCAGCCGTGGCGGTGCCCGTTGCACAACCGGACGTATTTCCGCCAAACGGAACTAAGTGCATTAAGACGTGAGCCCTGAGACCCATAAGATAAATGCATAACAGGGCTCATGTCTCAATGCACATAGTTCCGTTCGGCAGAAATACGTCCAACTTAAAGGTCGCGAAATCTCGCAAACCTCCTACGGGTGTACAGTGCACACATTCGCGTAGCTCTTTCATCCCCCATCGCGCGGTTGCCAAACCGTGCTCTGTAAGCTCCTCTCGTATCGATTTAAAAGCGAGCGATTTCCCCGATCGGCAGCGTGGCCCCTCTGCATTGCCTACCTAATCAGGGCCGCTATTCCTGTTTTTCTACTAATGAGATTTCCCCCTTTTCCCTTTTTATTCGGGAACAAACGGCGGACGGATGTTTCCTCAGGATCGGCGCGCCGTTTTTGCCCGTAGGAAAATCGACGCGGATACGTAACATTTATTCCGCGTCTGCTTAAAAACATCCTCCTCGGCGCGTCTTCATAGACAATTGCCCGGCACAGATGTGTAGGCTTTGTCTCCCACCCCCTTCCGCGAGTTCTATCCTGAAAGTTGGAGGAACTATCGAGAGTTACAACTAGTGGGAGTAATTAGCCGATAGTATTAGCTTCTCGTTTCCATTGTCCCGAGGGCTAGCGCTGGTATGGTGTCTCCGAGTCGGGAAATGTCGTCGCCCATCTGAAGTATGGGCGTATCTCAATTTTTACATGAGCCCTGTTCTCCGTATATTTCCATGCTTTTCAGGATGCTTTTTCGTCCTTACGTCAGAGAAACGACGATGTGTCTGCTTCCCCTTGCTCCCTGGCGCATTGAAATTCGAATCTCTGACTCCGGGTGAAAACGGTCCTGATTTCCTCAAAATGGCTTAAATACGAAGAATGGTGAATACTTGTTAAGGTTCAACCGGTGAGGGCACTATCTCCATTCTCAGGAGCTGGTGAACGATAACTACGGTAGTGAGGAAAAGTTAGTGAGGAACATTTTTCAATGGAAAGTCCATGGAGAAAACATTTTCCGCGAGAAATATTCAAAACATGACCTCTGGGAATGACATTACCGTCTTCAATATTGAATGCCCCTGGGTTAAGTTGGTAATTCAATCAAGTTCAACGCTATACCGCTGAAAAAAGACTAATTTATTTCAAAACTTGCTTTAATATTTAAACAAAATTGCTCTCTTTCAGATATAGATGCAAGAAAAATTTAATTTCCATGTCTTTATATGCAGAGTAATGCGGAGATTTAAAAAAATGTCTCTTTTTAGTTTTATGTAACCTGAGGGGAAGACTCATTTGAGGCAATAGCCAACAAAATACAACAATTGTCAAGTCTTGTTTCTGGTGCAATACGAGTACATACTTTGTCATGGGTATCTGATTTATTGTTTTCTTTTGTTCACAGTGCTGTATTTTTTCTCAAGAACCACGGAATCAAACAGTCAAAATTCAGAACGGAGCGCCTTCACCTTTCCCTGGGTAAGCATAACTGAATCTCTTAGTCATAAATTATTTATTATTTGCATGTTTATAAGTCAGAGGTATATTGAGTAAAATTTGCTGTGAGAAAAATTAGGGAAAAAGGATTACAGAACGCCCCAACCTCCTCTTTTTCTTCATTCTAAGCAATTGTTTTCTTCCTCATCTCCTCCTCCTCCTTTTCTATTTTATAAGAAACCCCTTTATCACACCGTGCGATGGCACGTATTGCTTTACTCCCCGTTTCCCTGAATTTAATCTCAAGAGGGACGGCGCAATTCTCCGGAATGTTAAGTCAAATCTGCTTTACTTATGCTCAATGCTCGCATCGGTAAATAATTCGCAATACGCACCCATGTATGAAAAATTGCGGAGATGAGTCGCATCAATTTTCTTCATAAATTAAGGGATATGCAATCCTGTGCGTAATGGTCCAATTTCAGAGTGACGAATACACAATATAAAGCGGGATTTTTTTTCCCGTCAGAGAGAAATTGCAAGAATAATCTGTGCAGTGGGCAAAATTTAGAATGGCATAAGTTTTGCTAATCGTGTTTGTGGTTAATTTTTTCAATCTTTACTTTACCGAAATTGATTTGCAGATTCTTCCGATTAACCTGATATGTTCCACGACCCTGAAATCTCACCGCATCAATGGTATGTACTGAACAGATTACCTTGCGAGAATATAGGAGAGAAAACAAGCATTTTCATGGGTGTTCCTCCTTCCTAGAAAATGCGTCTGTGTTTTGTGATATCTCATCCTCGAACTGTAGTGTCTTTGCCTCAAAGCAAAATGCCGATCATGAATGATGCCAGTCTCGATGTCTCCAAGCAACGAAAAAAATGCCATTTTCACATTCTAAAAAACTACAAAATTTGAAACATAGGGTGTGAAATAGTAGATTAATCTTGGTGGAGATTAAATCAACCCCGTTTCACAGATACGCAAAGTTCAATAATAATTCCTCCATTTAGGCTAAGTAGTGACAACTGACAAGACCCTTACCTAAACTTATATGCATAGATTTTGAGAGAAGTAAGGATGTAACGGAGGTGTGAGTCGGATTGCATTATTTGTCACAGCGTAAAAAGATAGTATTCCGGTAAGTAAGTGAAATCTTTACCGACCGATTAAACGTATAATATTCCAAAAAGCATCTTTTGTTTCCAAGTTTGCACTAAAACGCACTTTCAAGAGGGGAGCGAGTGAGAGAGACGGAAATATGAGCTCTGGGCTGGAGGGGGAGCGGAGAGGACTAGAGCAGGGCAAATTTGCAAAGAGTTGATGAAATCTTGAATATGTCACTAAGACAATGGCCTCAGCCTCCCTCTCTTCACTAAAGAAATCGCACAAAGAAGTGGATAAAGCCCTGGAGCGGGGAAGAAAGGAAGAAGAAGAATAATGAAAAACGCGAATTTGCCTCAACCCTCTCCTTACCACTCGGCGACGGAAGCGAGAGAGACGCAGATGAGAGTCATCCCTGTCGAAATATATTGTTGGGAAAAAGGAGTGAAAAAATTAAGTGAAAGATTTCTTTGTTTTAGACTTGATTTATTTTGTGTCCATTGTTTCGGCGCTAACAACGGTTCGTGCAACGTGTGCAATTATCGTGTACTCTGGCGTATATACACTCATTCACGCGTTCTAAACATGCAAAGCGAAGAGGTGTGTGAGAGTTATGTCATTCCTAATTTGTCAATTCGCTGTCTTTGCGAGTTGTCAGCAGGTTCAAAGCGCGGACTGAAAGGGGGAGTGAGCCCTTTAAAACTACTAATTTTTAGCGGTTACGCTCGTAGTAAATTCGTTGATCTTCTCACAAAAGTACCGCGCTTGAAGTATTACGTGGAAATTCGTTCTCAAGAGTGAATGGAAGAATTTAGAAATTCTTCGAAACTTCCGATTTGCGCCTCCTAGCGAATCTAAAATGTTTACGAGTAAAAGTAATAAATTATTCTATTTTCAATATTCTGGAGTATCCTCAAAATAATATACGATCTGTACTATAGGTAAATCGAATCCCGTAATGCTTCCATTTGCACTATCAAATTAAAATGATGTGTTTCGCATATTTCTTACATAGCAACAGCAATTTGCGAGTAAAAAAGTGAGTACAATAGAAGGGGTCGTTCGAGTATTACGGGAGATTTTTTGGCAGATTTTTTACCACTTACCCTCCACCTCTGTAAGGCGCTCGCAAAACAGCCTACTCTCTCACCCCCTACCCCCGAATTTCGTAAAATTTGCAGAACCCCCTTCTCCAGGTTTTTTATTTTCGAAAGAACGGATGTATCCTAAAAAGTAGCTGGAAAATGTATTAAGGATTACATTTTTTTTTTTTTTTTCAAAAAAGGAGGCTTACGTAATACTGAGCTTGCATCCCCATTCCCTTCGTCATATCTAATAAGTTAAGATCGTAATCAGACCTTTCCCCCAAGTAGCTTTCGCAATACTCGAATGGCCCCCATCTTGCTGAGAATAAGAAAGGTGACAGAATAGAAGAACGTAAGTATACACGGAGAGAGGAAATTCATGTCACCGATTGGCATTTCCATAATCGACGAAAGCGGAAGGAGATAAAGCCGGTCTTTCTCGATTGGTGGCGGTCACCGCGGGAAAAACACAATGCCGCAGTTGTGAAAAGATGGACTTGCGGCACTCCTCGCGACAATCTTGGGAAAAGGCAGGCAGGAGCGATAAGTTATCTGCTGCCCGGTTATCGGTGAAGAAACATCGGTCCATCCCGACCAACAGGAAGCAGCGACAGGAAGAAGATCAAAGTCAACCTCCCTCATCCTTAATATCATATCATTTGGACGGATTTCTGCCAAACGGAGCTATGTGCATTAAGACATGAGCCCTGAGCCTCACAAGAATATATGCATGGCAGGGCTCACGTCATGATGCACATAGTTCCGTTTGGCAGAAATACGTCCATTTGAAAAACGAATGGGCTTTATCAAGTTATTGGCGGTTTTGCGTTTCAGCTCTCTTCTCGGCCTCCTCCATCCTGGACGGCTCGGCTCAAAGAGTTGGCCAACCAGAAAGCTGATAAATCTCAATCGGTAGCAGGAACGGCTCTAGTTGGCAACACTGGGGTAGTCCCGTCTAAAACATTGCTAATAATTGATATTTATAGAATAGGGCTTTCTCACCTAGAATCGATTTTTCGTTATGGGTTTAAATGGAGAAATTAGAGTGTTGCCATTTTGCAAGCATTGTCACAAAACAGTAATCCGCTTCCGACCAAAATTTGGTGGATAAAAATTCTCTGATCGTGCTTGCACTGGAAAAAAAAAACACATTGGATCTAGAGTCCAGACTCTTGAAAACATTTACAAGCAAAAATACTCCTGGTTCAATCGGATTTTTGCTTGAATCAAAACGAAATCCAGTTAAATTAAGAGGCTTGGTTCTTGATTTAAGCTAGATTCTGATTGAATCAAGAGTACTTTTTCTTGTCGATGTTTGTAAGAGTCTGGAATCTAGATCCAATGTGTTTTTTTTTTTTTTTTTCCAGTGTGAGAATGTAATTGCGTATATTAGAAATTGCTTATGGATGTCTTAAAATTTAGAGTGTAAGTTAGTTAAAATTATATAACTCTTCAAGATATTTGTATTAATGCGATTCTTCAACATTGACGAAAATCATTTTAAGGTCAATTTTGATTGATACTTTGATTTGGTACGAACAAAATATTCTTTTATTTCCATCCATTTCATCCATCATTTTCATCTATTTTATTCCCTTCTAAATAGTGCAAAATGTATACAGTTTTCAAGAAATGAATAGATAAAACATTTTGAATGTGGAAATATTGTTCTAATTAGCAATTTGGGCAAATATAAAGTAGGCGCGGTTCGTGCGGTGTATCTGACAAATGCAAAAATGAAAAAATTCACCTGCAAAAACATGGCCCGCAGGCCGCAAATAATACAAAACAAAAAGTGAAAATGAGAGTTAAATGAGTAATACTGATGCTGATTACAAGCGAGTGAAATTTCCTTCAAAACAACGAGTAGGCCACAAATGGGCAAGGCCAACTGAAACGTTTGAATAGTTGACTACCATACCAGGCGTTCTGAGCCCTCGTCTACATTGATGTGGACTCCACTCTCGAGAGCAGCTGCACGGATGATTGTGTGCGGCACGCTGCCTACCTAGCCGGGCGTTTTATACGCTCAACTTTTCCGCGAGGACTCGCCGGGAGGGTCGAGGTGGGACCATCAGCTACTTGACAGAAGGTGCACGTTGTGTTGCATATACTGTTGGGCGTTTTATGTCGGTAAGATGCCATCGCGTCGCGTCTCGCGTCCGTAGCTGCGTTTATTATTCCATGCCTATGCTAGCGGAGGGATTAAAATCTCGCAGATTTTTTTAACCATCGATTTTCTTTTATTCTTTCTTTCCTCTTCATCCCGTTTTGACGACCGTCCACGATGTCCTTTTTTTACTGTAGATTGATCAATTAATTGCAAATTTAAAAGCATTGCATGAACAAGACATCTGTTCATTTCATTCAAAATGCATTTAATAGGATAAAATTAATTCACTGACAGAAATCGAGGTTATATTGCTATTATTCCCTTATACTGAGATCTATACCGACTGACCAACGAGCTAACTCCTTGCTTCGCGCTAAACGTTTCTTTTTATGCTCACGCGACTCCATACCTCATTTCGTTAAAAAATTTTTAAAGGGGGCGTTCCTTATTTCATGAATAAAAAATTTGCCGTAGGAATTATTTCAGTTTCATAGAAACGCGTTCCGTCATCTCCAAACTGAGTCATCCGACATTTACTCTTCGGATGCATGATGACACTACCCGTAAAAAGGTCAATGTAAGTAGACGCATAATTTACCAGGTTAGCCACTTGCTTGCAGCTCATGATTTTCCGCCACGATCAGTGCCTGCTCGGCAGTGGCATGGCGTGCTTTGCGATATATCGACTGATCGGCCATTTAAGCCTATGGAAAAGGATCGATAAACAAGGTGTTCGCAGCGAACACCTTAATAATCGATTCTTTACCATGGGTTTAAATGACATAACAATCGATATATCGCAATTCACGCCACGCCACTACCGTTGCTCGGAGTGAATAACCGGAATGATGAATGCAGCTTGCACGCACGCTGCAATACAATCGCTGAAAATCTGCCGCTCACATGAATGAGCGTTTTTCTTTTTTCTTCTTTTTTGGAAAAGTGTGCCTATGTATTCAAATCTGCGTGGGTGGAAAATTAATATTGCCATTTTTTTAATCACAGTATCTTGCATGAATAATGGCGGTTATATAATGACTGAGTTGGTGTCCACATGAAGCTATTTTTAAAATTTTAACACAAACCTGTTTCGAGGCTATAAATAACTCTCCTGGTTGAGATTTTCTAACTTGTTTCTCTTTTCGCGTGCTTCCGTAACAACAGCCTTTTTGCATCATTGATTTGCGGGTTGACGAGAAACCTTGGTATCTGATCGATGCGTAGGTTGATCTGATGTAAACTTCGGAAATTCCGTCATAGCCATCCCGCCAATTTTCAGATCAGGAAGGCTCAATGCGACTTCCTGTCGTACTACAATTGAATATATTAAATATATTCATTTGTAGTACGACATATGCTATGACATAAATTTTATGCTAAAAGGAACCAT